CCTTTGCTGCGTGTCATCCCCTCTCTCTGCCCCCCTTTCCTGTCTATCTTCAGCTGTCACTATAATAAAGGCAATAAAAGCCCCAAAAAATATACTTTAAATAAAAAAACAAAATATGACCTAAGACCAACATTTATACATACCAGGATTGCATCTAGCTATTATTTTCATAATTGATTAATCTGCCAATAACTTTTTTGATTAACTGAATACTTTTGTCTTTGAGGAAATCAAAAAAGGAAAAGATTTGGTGAAAATCGAACCAGCAGAGGCTGAGATATCCAGACTTTCAGTCCCTAGTTCGGGTTCCCAAAATCCAAAAACAGTGGCTCCTACATTTCCCATGATTTTCTTTTTTATTCAGCACACTCTGTCTGATAATAGCCACATCTTTCAAACTACACTCCTAAGATTTGTAATGCAAGCTTTGTGTCATACATTTGTGGGCTCCCAAGCCCAGATAACCCTGATGACATAACAAGGACATAATCAGGGTTATTTTTTTTTCAGATTTTGGAGCACTCCTTTCAGAGAAATGGAGGACATTATTCAACTGTTTTCACAGGCTGCATAGTACTCCTCATGGTGAATAACTGAAATCTATTTGTAAAATTGCCCATGTGCACCTTTCAGTCTAGGAAGGGTTACCTTTCTTAGACACACTTTCTCTAGTGCTATTGGGCTAAAAAGAAGAATAAATCACATTGAGTAAATACCAGATTTCATTCCCTACATTAAGTAACTTTTTTTTCATCTTGAGATCCTTTAGCTTTTTTTAAAGCTGGAAGGAATGTGGCACACAGAATGGGATGCTATTTTTAAAATAAATGTGCCGTATGAAAAGATTTGATTTGAATTGCTTAAAATACCAAATGGCAATGTTTAACTGCAGGGTTTAATGTTGGACAGAAAATGTCAAAATACTACTCTGAAAGAGAAAGTAGGGCAGAAGTCGGCATGGGACATCTGTCTAAATACATTCACACCACCAACACAACGCCTTGAAACAAGTTCCAGGATTCCCCAGTAATATAAAGGCAGTGTGCTTCTAAGTAGCTCACAGACACGTGTTCAGATTTCGGGTGACATCGGTAGTCAACAGGTGCCAGAACACAACAGCTGCTGCTGCTGTGACTCGCCTGCTCTGAAGTTGCCCTGGGGAGCCCGATGCCAGAGCTGGTTTGGGTTCACTGCGCAACCCGTTTTGCATTTCTGCAAGGTTTGTTATGGCAGAAATTAGACATGACAATAAAAAGGCTGTGGGGGAAGTATTGATTTCCTTGTTGAAGGTATGGGCAGAATCTTGCTTAGATCACTTCAGAAATATCAGCTTGACTTTAGTGGAAGGATTCAAAAAATGAAGTGAAAAAGAAGATGAGCTCGTTTTGGGATTCAGAAAGTATTTGGTTTTCAGTCAACACAGCAATGAAAAACCCAAAGGTTCTGGAGGGTATAATGGCCTCTTGACCTCTCTCCAAATAAGAGAGATGAAGAAGGTCTCCAGGTGTCTCCTTTGGTGCCTATTTAAGGAGCTGCCAGTCTGCGCTCCCTATTTTATCTGAGCCACAGAGCGGCTATTGGAGTCCACATGATTGATGTGGTCTCATCTCTCAGACTGTCACGCTCTCCTGATGAGCAGATACTTTATCGACTCCGTTTTGGGGAGTGTGTCTAGTCTCACCTCTCAAAAGAAAGTATAAGCTCTTTTAGGGAATAGACTCCAAATAGTGACCTCAACCCTGATCTTCAAAGTGTCGATTTAAGTGTAAGGTCCCATCAGATAAGTTCTCCTGGTAGGATATTAGTTTCGGAGAGAGGGCAGAAATCAACAAACTGTTAGTGCTCTGTGCCGGATCCTATTGACAGAACAGAAAATACTGGAGTTTGAATAATGGCATTAGCTAAGGTGACAAAAGTCCATTGATGTTTTCTTTTGATCTGGAGTCTTTTTTCACTCTCACTATTGGCTCCATCCTGCTGCCAATAATGTCTAGCTGGTCAGCTTGCCTCGCAACCCTGAAAGCTTCTCAGAGAAATTAACCTTTGCATGTGCACACATGGAGATATCACACAAGAAACTACTTCGGACACAAACAGGCCTGTATATTTAATACTTTACATTTAAAAGTACAAGAAGATTTCCTGCTGTTGTTTGCTTATCTCTGCTCTGTACTGTGATACTGTGATATTTCAAAAAATGTAATCCACAAAGTGTCTCTATCCTTGCAATAAGATGATGGCTTTGCATTTTCACTCCTAAGCTGTGCCCGGCAGCTTTCACAGAGGAGATTGTACAACCCTGTGTAATAGGCTACTTCTGTTATAAAGGGCAGATGCTTATCTTGTCCATATAGGATCCTTTGGTCAGACTGATTTGGTGTGGAGACATTAGATCATAACCTTCATGTCCAGTTCTGGCAGGTGAACAAGCTCTCAAAGAAAAAAAAAACTACATGAATGAGATGCTCTGTTTCGTGACAAACGCTTTTTTTCCTATGACCCTTTCCTCTTTTGTATCTTGCACTGTCTAAGGGAGTCATGGTTAAGACAACCAATTTGTTCCACTAAGGGAAGCAGAAATGCTTAGATAATAGCCCTAAGTATCAGGGGTTGTCAGACTTGTTTTTCTATGCCCTGTTAAATCATAATGAGAAGACGAGACAAAAGCCAAGACTAAAAGTTAAAAGAGTGAGGTAGAAATCGTTTAGCAACTTTTGATTAAGATTTACTAAGCCATGGCCTTCTTTCACATTATGCTACAAGGCTGCCTGTTTCATGCCGTTACCATTGTCTTCTATCACATCCCTTCCTGTTTTTACACAGTGTTTTCTAGTAGACTCGGTAAAGAATGTCTTCCATTCTGCTATTTAACATGACTTTGAGTAGCATAAATTTAAGGGTGAAATCATACAAAAAAAATAA